ATTATATTTGGCTCCAGTGATGCAGAACGGAGGTGGCAGAAGACTTCTTTGGTTTTTCCCCCTCCCAGTGGCTTTCTGCAAGGTGCCCCCATGGCTCTGGGGGTTGAGGGGTCCATATGTAACCTCGAGGAAAAACCCACATGTTGGAACAAAACCCAGCATCAGAAATAGATGAAAGCATTGACCATGGGTGAGGTAGGTCCCAGAAGACCTGAGCTGTTGTCTCTAATAAAAGAGCATGGCAAAAAGCATTAAACAGAAGAGCAGCTTAATTTCCCTGCAGTGTTAGGGCTGCTGCTGCCTGTAACTGATGGGGTTAGTTATAGACTGTAATATGTTTTCCTTGTGTAGCAAAGTCCCATTGGATTTTCTAGGTGTTAGTATAACCAGAGCTGAGTGATTCAATCTCAGCCGAGCAGAAGATGATCACTCTTCCCCGCTCTGCCTGTGAGGCCCATCCATCGTTGTGCATGGATCCTGCCCATATCTCTCTCCAATGGGTGAAACCTGGGCTTTTCCTCCTGTACAAGATTGTTTTCTGGCTGATTTATGGTTTTTGGAAAGTTAATTGATCCCTATTTTAATCTCCTTATGCTTGGAAAAGAGACATAGATCATTTTAATTGCAGAAGAGAAAAAATGAGCTTATGTGACATAACTCAGGCAGCGATGTTCCTTAGGTACAGCATCAGCATCATTATATCAATTAAATCATGCTATGTGTTACACTGAAGCAGGCTTCTTTTCTTCTTGCTGGTTGCTCAGTGAGTTATTTGATCAGATACTGCAGTGCCTGAAGTGAAATTGAACGTTTCTGAGCTCCCAAAGTTCTGAACATTACAGCAGTCCCCTTTGAACACGTTGCTGTGGTTATGGGCTTGGCAGCACCGGTGGGGCCAGCATCTGAAGTGGCTTTTTGGAAGATTTGGGATGGGAAAAAGGTTTGGAAAATAATTAGCAAGGACTGAATTACAGTGTACCTGGTTATTGTTCCCCAATTTCTCCAAGCTCAGCCTTGCAGAGACCGCAGCAGCTCCAGCACTGAGAGCTGGGGGGATGCTGAGAGGGCACCATGGCAGCTCATTCTACAATATCCATCTCCATGGGGAATTTGGCAACTCATTACATTGGTTTACATAACATTACACATGCCTGAGTTACTGAGGCAGCCTGGCAAATCTCTGCATCGCTTCTGCAAAGCCGAGTTGTTCACTGCAGTGCTTTCTGAAGGGCATTCCCAAGGCTTGTGCTAAATTGAACCCAGTTCCTGCTAGTGTGTCTCTGTCACCTGCAAGCACCTTGCTTGTGAGCTGAGTTCCTCTCCCCAGCCTGGGAGCACACTGAAGCACTGCTTGGGAGAGCATCCTTGGCTGGTGGCTGGATGAAATGCTTCTGATTGGAAATAGCTCTGACTTTACAGCCAACAAAAGAGCAAAGACGTGGGTTTCCTTGCATGGGGCACGACTCCAGTCATAAATCCAGTCATGCTGGAGGGTACTGGTATGGTACAGTGCAAAGAACTTGGCCTTGTTGACTGCAGTTTGGGAATGGCAGAAACCCATGCGTCTTCTGTGCCCATCTCTGTACTTCCCTGTGAGGTCACTGCTAAAAACCGTAGTTTCTCCTCCATGAGAAGAAAACGGACTTTTCCATGTGTTCCATATTGGAAAGAAAAGATGAAATGTTGCATTTCCCTATGAAAATCCTGCTCACTACAAATGCCACACAACTAATGTGAGGTTTACTACTGGGTACTACTGACCACTTATTTCACTACCGTGTGCCCATTCAATTCTATTGAATCAACATCAGTAGTAGGAGACCCCTTCCAATGGGGTCTTCCATTGGAACAGCTATGAACCCACAGATGAAACCTGGTGGAACAGCAAAACCCCCCGATTTCACAGCCTGATTCTGGTTTGAAGGACTCTGCCCACATCACCAGGCTGATCCCAACCCACCTGGCAGGACTTCATGCTCAGATCTTTGTGTTTTCTCTGCTGGACCAATTCTGATCGTTATTATTTGGGCCACGCTTCCCAGGTTTTAAATTATTCTGTCTCAACTAGCTGGTGGCATTTGTTACATGTCATGCAATGTTCCTGGTAATTAATTGGTATTTAATTAATTAAGGGATAATGGCATTCAATTAAGGGATGCCTGTGGAATGCTGTCATTGGGTAATGAATGGCTTCCTGCTGCTCAGGCAGATCTGAGGCATTTGTGGAAAGTAAATAGAGAGGAGAAGCTGCATCGTTGGTTCTCTTGGCAGCAATCCTGATGTGCCACCACTGGCAGGGATGGTCACAGCATGGATGGCGGCATCTCAGTGCTTCCAGCAGCTCCACAGCAACAGGGCTCCATTCTCACACCCCTCACCCAGGGGACAGGGCAGGTCGAGCTTTTCCCCTGATGAATGTAAACTCACTGTTGCCCCCACAGAAATCAAGGACTGTGGTATCTGGTAGAAAATGGGCCTTGTGTCCTCTTGCCTTTGGAGCAGAGCACAGAGAAACTGTGAATTTCCTATGACATGAAGACAAATGAAAGTGGATTTCTCAAGCCAAACCATCTTGAATAAAGAGGGACAAATACTGAAGGAGAAGCAGGAGTGAGTCACTTTGCTTACAAACTCTCTGTGATGCTGTGTGTGCTGTGGGTATAAACATTTCTGATCCTTCTTGCTTCCCAGGCATCCCTCCCACCGTGGGCCATGCAGCTCTTCTTTCACCCCTTGGGAACTGGGTTATTTCCAGGCAGAATGGGGATATAACAGGGCCATGAGGGTGGTGGGCATCCCTCTGAGTGGTGTCTTCCCCTGGGCCCGCAGCTCAGCAAAACCTCACAGCTCCCTGTTTCCCCTTCTGAGCCTTTCTGAGCTGCTGTACTCAGTGAGATGCAAAGTGAACATTTTGAAACACTGTAGTGCTTCAATTCCCCGACAGCTTGCAGGTTTTCCCTAAAAAGCCCCAAGCCATTTTTGTTCGGAGTGCACACTTCCAGCTGAGAACTGCAAAACAATTAAGGGGGAGAAAATGCAAATTGTACTTCATGGGTTGATTGCCGATGCCTCCTATAGAGGAATTGCCTGCTGGATCTAATTGTTTAACCCAGCAGTGTAATGACACTATTAATAATTTATTGTTTCTTTACATTGGCTCCTTACACACGTTTTGTTTTCATTATTTTTCTGGCACTCCTGCATAACTAATTTTTGCTTTCTAATTCTGTTACATATTTCAGCTGTAGTTGTGTATGAGCACGATGTGCGCCTGTGCTCACTGACCTCTTGGTATTTTTGGTTGCTGTGAGTGAGCTCTAGTGAAGTGAATGGGGCAGACGCAGTGGGATATATACACCTTCCTGAGACCTTTGGGATGGAAAGTAATGTGGAAATGTGAACTCCAATTACAGCTCCAGCAAAGTCCACTTTCTAATTAATTGGAGATTAAGCTAAAAATAGAGCTGGTTATGTAAAACATAACTCGAAAGCCCTCATCCACCTGGTTGCACAATACCCAGAAGAATGATCGCTGCCAATACTTAATTAGGGGTAATCATGCCCCAGGATGTGGCTTTTGAGGGCACACAGAAGTTCTGCTGGGATCCACTGGTGTGGGGCTGACAAACCTTGCTCCATCCATAGGAAGAAGACCCCAAAGCTCCTAGGAAGCTCACCCATCAGCTCATGTTCACCACTTGCAAGCCTGGAGGTTCCAAAAATCTTTGAAGCCCAGCACGTGGTGGTTTCCCCAAAGCAGTTTGCATCTCTCTGTCTCTACAAGTTCCTATAAACACTATCATCGTGTGTCTGTATATAAAAGGAAGAAGAATGTGGATCCAGCCTCCACATCCATCCCCCAGAAGGTCAAGCAATTCGGCCCAACAAAACCTCAACAAACACTCATCGAGCTTTTAATTGAGTTGTTTCTGTTTCATTAAAAAAAAACCAAAACATACTGAAATTCTTCTGTGGCTTTGGCTGGGGTGGGAGGGCTGCCCTGCATGCCCTGCAGTGTGATTGCTGCTGGGGGTTCCTCCCTTATCCTTTATCAGTGGGAGGTTTGGAGGCTGCAGCTGGGGCGGGAGGTGACTCTCCAAGCTTCTACGGGTCCAGAGAGGGGGAGGCTGACCTTGGGATTCTGCTGGGAACCAGTGATACTTCAGGGCAGCCAGAGTCTGTGTTCTGCTGCTCATCTTCCCTGCTCCTCTCAGGATCTTAAAATTCACTGTTTCTGATTAGGGGGGCCAAAGGTGTCATTGACTACCACAACCACATCTGGTGTCTACTCTGTCAGTGGGCAGCAGATCCAGCTGTGCATCCACTTGGCCAATCCAGCACCTCCATCACAAGAACATCCATGAAGTCCTCCTGAGATCTCCAGGACCACTTGCATTCCAACCCATCATCCACCCTGCTGGGTGGCTGTGACATTGCCCCACTCAGAGCCACCCACCCTGGCCCCTTCTTGGTGCTTATCCACAAGTTCTTACCCAATCCCCATCTGGCAGAAGAGCCCCACATAGCTGAGCTCCTTCCATTCTCCTTTTGAGGTTGGGTTCAGCCATCCAACAGCACCTGGATACAAGGAGTAGCCAAGAACTGGCTAGAATGATGGGGATTTGATTCTGATTGGTCTGACTATGGCTCTGCAGGAGATGCACTCCCCCTCTCACTTACTCATTTTTGGCTGGAGCCCCAAGTGTGAGGCTGGGCAGCGTTCAAGGATTTGTGTAAAACAAGGAAAATATCTGCAAAACTTCATGACCTCTCACGAAAAGAAGGTTTTGTTGAATCCCAGCTCTCCAGTTGCAGATATTACAGATGGGGAAGTTTTGCCAAGAACAGAAGGGAGTCAGATAGGGAACTTCCATTAATTTAAAGGAAATGGAACATCTAAACCACTTGCACAGCCTTGAGCAGATGAGCTAAACATGTTTGCCAAAGAGATGGGGAGATTTGAATTCCTTTTTGACATCAACTATATTTTATTACTTGAAACACCAGGAAAATTTGTTCACACAAAGATGAGGGCTCCTGCTGGATGGTAGCTTTTCCCCTGGTAATTCTCCCTGGGCCCCCTTGCCTTTTTTATGTCCCTTCACCTATTTTCATACTGTCTGGGGCAGCATGCATCCCTCCTGCCATGTTAAGGAGCACGCTGTCCTAGTTTTCAGCTTGCAACACTCGTTGAAGGAGCAGCCTATACTCCCCACCCCAGGTGTGCCGATGCCCTGTGCCACCCACCGGCTGGGGGAACTCCCAGAGAGCCTCACCGCAGCCCTCACAACTGGTATTTCCTCAGCAGCTCGCTTTGCCACTGCCGTTTCTTATTGGGAAAGGCATGAGGGATCTTGATCTTCCGGAAGTCCTCGATGCACTTCCCCAGCTCGGACTGCAGCGCCTTCCTCTCCTCGCTCACCGCTGCGGCCACAGGGCTGCTCCCGACCCCGTTCTCCTTCACCGCCGTGTGGTCACTGTTACGCCTCTGCCCCATCTGCTTCACTTCCTCCAGCTTCTTCAGCGACTTGGACAAGTCCAGGGTGTTGGGGCGAGCTGGGCATTCTTCAGGGGCTTCTGGACATGGCATGGAGTCTGCAGGGCTGGGGTTCCCCTGCTCTGACTTGGAGTCCCTGCCTGAGATGCTCTCACCTGCGGATGGAGCGGGACTGGGCTCGCTGTGACTGCTGGTGCTGGAGGCTGCAGCATCACACTCACACAGGGTGCTGACAGGGTCCTGCTTCGTCCCTGGGTCTGGTCTGGGCTCCTCAGGGTCACTGCAGGCTGGGGACAAAGCAGAGAGCTGAGAGAGAGTAGGAACATGGCTTGTGATGCCATGGGGCAAAGCGGAAGAGCAGACATGTAAGTGTGTGGGTAGTGTGGTTTCACTGGGCATTTTCCTCTAAAATGTCTAAATTCTTAACCTACTGGTGTTGTTATTGTTTTTTGGGGGGGGAAGTGGGGAGGAGGGAAGGGAAGGAAGGTTTTGAGCTACAAAGCAGAGTATAAAATATTTCCATTTCAAATCCCTCAATCTAAACTTTGCCACCCATGGAAACAGAAAAACATAAGATCACAGGATATCTTGGTTGGAAGGGACCTCAAACACCACCAGCCCCAACCCATGGGCTGGCTGCCTCCACCAGCTCAGGCTGCCAGGGCTCCATCCCACCTGGCCTTGAGCAGCTCCAGGGATGGGGCAGCCACAGCTCTCTGGCAGCAGGGCCTCACTGCCCTCTGAGTAAAGAATGTTTTCCTAACATCTAATCTAAATCTTCCCCTCCTTCAGTTTAAAACCATTTTGCCTTGTCCTATCACTAAATGTCACTTTATTTTTCTCTGAAAACTTTTCTAAAGGGTTATTTTTCCCCTCTTCCTTTCTCTTTTATTCTTTTTTTTTATTTTGACATTTACTTGAACAGCTTCAACGCAACACTTACCAGAGGTGGAAAGCTGAAATGTCATCCGTCACTGAGGAGCAGCCTTGAAGGCTGGATTTTCTTTGTCACATCTCACCAGGAAGTTACAGGGATGTATCTTAGCCCCACATTCTTTGACTGATGGAATAAAGTCTCTAAGTTCTTAGACTGCTTTAATCACCTTATCTGCAAGCCTCACAACTGCCTTTGTGGAATGGGGAACCGAGGCAAGGGCAGCGTAAGCTGCTGCACTCAAATTCACATAAGGAGCCTGTAGCTTAGCTGCAGGCTGAACTCACATCTCTTCCATTCTCCAACATCTTAGCTCCTAGGCCATCCAATGACGATAGCAAACTTGGCATTGCGATTTCTCTCCCTATGTCAGTACACAACTCAGTCACGACCTTCTGCAAATACGAGCAGCCTAATTCTGTTAGTTTAGGTATGATAATGTAATTTGGGCCATTTCTAGGCGGCTGAGGCACTTTGCATAAATGGACTGGTGAGTCCTAATGACTGCTCTTCAGAAATACTTATTAACTGCCCATAAGCAATTTACTTAGCTTTGCTTTATCTCAAACACCATAGCCTGCTCTGGTATGTTCTCACGCTAACATCTGCACAAATGGTCCTGCACACACTGAGAAGTGCAGATCTCAGCAGGATTTTATTTTCTCTCCACACGATGCTGAAACACAAGCTTCCTCCTGGCTGAACGTCTTGGCCAAGTACTGCAGCCCAAGCATCCACCTGCATCAGCACATGCTCCCAAACTGCTAAGGGCTGGAGGGGAGCCAAGGGCCATGCAGACCTGCAGGGGCTCTCCAAAGAAAATCAGATCCATGCTGGAATTTGCAGGATCCAGCAAGAGGCAGATGACAAGGAACAGATGTTCATCCTTCCCACTCTTCTGCACTGGTCACCAGCAGTTTTCCTGTGACTGGTACAAGGCATTCAGATCCACGAATCTGTGCCTAAGCCGTGGCATCAGTCCTTCTGACCACAGTTAAGAGTTTTGTGTGCTAGTGATTTCAGGAGCACGGGGACCTCTCCGGAATCTGACCTGTGCACAACCTAACACTGAGGCAGCTCAGTCTTCCAGGATATTGCCTTGCCATTGATCATCTCTAACTTGTGAATGTCCTATCCGTGGAATTGCTCAGGGCCAGGTTGGATGGGATCCTAGGCATTCTGACTTAGTGGGTGGCAACCAGCCCATGCAGGGGTTTGGGACTGGATGGGCTTTAAGGTCCCTTCCAACCTAAGCCTATTCTATAGTTCTATAGCTCTGGACAAATAATTTCATTTTCCCCTGGGCTAAACTTCCCTCACATCGCATTTCTGGTCTATAGCAATATGAACCCTCGTGTCTGACAATATGTGGGTACAGGTCCTGAGATGACCCCAGCACACCTCACCACTCTTCCTGAGTGCTCCTCACACTCAGCTGGGAGAAAGGATCCGTTACACTGACAGATTTTATCATCCTTTTTTAATTTTCTCAGTCTTTTCTTCCTGCGTGACACTTTTGTCTGCTGTAGAGCATCAATTAGAGCACGGAAGTGACACTTCCAAGGCAGCCCCATGGTGCTGCTGGAAATCCTGCTGAGTGCAATTAATGGGCTCCTGCACGTGGCAAGCTCACACGTCGCAGAGAAAGAACACATTGTCCCAGCTCCTTGCTGCTCTTGTGGATAGCACTGTTTTCTTAGCGCTTGACAAGGAGATGAACTCACCATGTGCCATGTCCCAAGCTCACATTGTTTGCTTTGCTCTGTGTCAGTGCCTCCAGCTCCAGAAGAGACCTGAGCCCAGAGGTCCAGCATAGCCATGTGGCTCTGAATGAAGCATTCCTAGTTTCCTTTCTAGAAAAGAAAAGTGGCTGATGCCAGAGGGATGTTGCTGGGCTTTTAGGACAGATCTGTGTGTTGAGGAGTGAAAAGCAGTTCATACCTACATTGCTTCCCTGCGCCAATGGGGGACTTTCAGCTCAGACCAGATTGGCTTCAAAGGTGGATATTCCTCTTACACAACTTTTTCAGACACCTACATCTCACAGAAAAAGAGGAACTATTTTGTCCCAAACAAAAGCACTCTCTGAGCTCCTACCAGACAGTCAGACAGAGAGATGGGCTTTAGAGGGAAGCCCTCCCCACGGGCAGAAGCAGAGCTCTGTGCATCTCTGTTTTTGCTCTGTGGTTGCATTTCATTGGTTCTTTCCTTCCAGATTTTAAATGAAAAACACCATCACCACATAGCTTGGGGTCAAAAAATCATGTCCCACTTTCTGCACAAGCTTATTCAACTCCTTCCTAGCCTCTTTGGTGTAGCGTGTTGTGACATGGAGATGGAAGAAAGTTTCAGAATGAGCTGGAGGAGCTCACTCAGTTGGCATCCCTGTTTGAGCCTGAAGGAGGTGGGCACGGGCCTGAACCATTTGTTTGAACCAAAGTTTTGCTAGTACTAAAAGTTCATTCAGAAAACATATAGATGCTGCCCCCTTCCCCCCCCTCCCCCTGCCCTAAATATTTCTCGTGCAATCTGATGGTGATGGGTGTACCTGCAGCCTACTCATGCTGGATGCAGAATAGCTGCTGCTCTGCCAGCTCCTTATCCCTGTGAATCTCAGGTCTCACCTCTGCCCAAAGTGATTATTGAAAAATCAAGCTGAGCCTGAAAAGTGATGTCTACACTTCTGTCTGTCTCTAATCCCACTTATTTCATCAAAGAAGGACAAGACTCTGTGTAAATAAATGGCTCTGACCCCATCTGCCCACAGCAGTAGCCTCTGCATTCCCAAGAGCCTCAATTAGCCTGGTTGTGCCAGTGAGGCTGCACTAAATCTGCAGCTCTGGTGACACTGTACATGGATTAACTGCTATGGTAACACCAGTAGGACCAGGAAAAGCAGCTTTTGGCTTTAAACTTCCCTGCTAAACACAAAACTCCTCCTATCCTCCATGGGGCAATAAACATATATTGCTCCTACAGTTAAGGTTAGTTTCTGCAGCTGCAACATTGCAGCTACAAGAAAACCCAAGCTACCCAGAGTGGATCCCTTGACAAATCCAATTCTGCAGCCTTGAAACAATAATCCAGATTGTCCTTTGTCACTCAGGTTGGACTTTGCCATCAGGAGGAGGTTGGGTGGGTGCAGGACTTGGGGATTTCACGTGTGCTTCTGAGAGCTGGCTGCAGGATGAGCAACTCCTCCTGGAGGGAAGGTTTGGCTCTGAGGGGCAAAGCTCTTAGCAGGACCTGCTGGTGCTGATGCTGCGAGATGTCCCAGCTGCAGGGAAAATCTTTTCTGAGAATAATGTCTGCCTGCAGTTTGCTGGAGGAGCTGAGAGATGCTTCCTGAAGCACACCAGCAGAGATGGAACCCCTACCTGATGGCCAGCAGTTCTGTCAGGCAGACGCTTAGCAGAATTGCTATGTTTCATTTTACTTTTGAGTCAGTGACTGCAGCTTTATGGCAGGGAGACAACTTGCAACAAGTTTTGTTTAGGCAAAACAGGATGAATTCAGACATGAGAGGTCAAATTACAGTGGCAGATGTTGCAAGCTGCTGCAGCTGCAGCCAGTGGATCCATGCTGACTCACACCAACAAACCTCTGCTCTGGGGAAGATGCTTCAGTGCTGCATGAAGCAAAAGCAGCCTTCACTGTGCACTTCTTGCCAAGCCAATCTCTGCAGGTAAGACTTTCCAATTCCTTGGCAGGAGTCAGTCACCAATATTGCACATGGTAAATACTTTGCAAGAGGTGCTGCCCCACCATGAGGAGCTGCTCTCCCTGTGGAGAGATTTGCAAGCTGGAAGGGGCCAGGAGATTTTTCCAAGGGCATGGACTGGTCTGGGGAATGTCTACCTGAAGCAAACCATCACTAGCTGCATTAGGAACCCAGCAAGAGGAGGTTTCAGAGAAGTGTCACAGTGGATGTCTCAGTGTGCGTTACTGCATTGGTCCTGGGATAATTTGTTCCCAGCCATGGGAAATTATCACTGTATGTGTTCCCAGGTGGGATGGTGGAAAGATGATGGAGGAAATAGAATGTGCAAAAGGAAAAAATGGAGCACAGATATTCTATGTAGTTGAGATTGGTAGGAGAAAAAGGTTTCTTACTTTTGTGTGTTTTTTGGCTATAAAATACTGTATGGGAACTGCTCGGTCATGGCCTGAACCTCTGATTGATCACCTGAGGCGAACCATGAGCCAGCCAGAGGAGCACAGGTGAAGGCAATTCACTGTGCTGCCGGAAGGGGTGGAGGCTGGCTGCACCCCTCCTAGACCTATTTAAGAGCTGGCTACCAGTGGGGAAGGGTCTCTTCTGGAGATCACCTCTCTTGGTGTCTTCTGGTGAGCTCAGCCAAAGGGTAAGCTCTTCCACTAATTCTCTTTTGTGATCGTTGTTTACTTTGCCTAATTCTCTTGATTATATTGTGATTATAACATCTTGATATCTATTGATTATACAATTATACTGTAATCATAACATCTTGATTATACAAATACCAACAGTGGAACATTAAGTCTTTTACAGCTAGAAGTATATGCCTACTAACTGGGTATGATCTTCACTGGGTGCTCTATAAATGAGCTCAAGAAAGACAGGAGAATCTGGCAAAGCAGCAGCTCCTCATGCTGGGACCTGCATCTCCATGTCTCTCGCTGGGAGCTTCCACCAAATGGATACTGCTGCCTTCTGCTGTGTCAGCAGATGGCAGGGATTGCTTTGCAGTTTCTCAGGAGATCAGGGGCACTCGTGTGTGACTGGGAGATGAGTGATCACTGGTTTTGGATGAGCCATCCTGATTGTGGAATTGTCTAAATGCTTACAACCCAGGATATATGATTCAGCCTTTCCATCTGATCTCTGCCATGGCATGTGCACAGGGAAACTTCTTCCTGGAAACAGCTCAGCATGGGAAGTATTTTGAGCATGGGAAAGTGTATGGGCATGACTTATAACTTGTATTGACTTATGACATGGTAAGCACACAACAGTACAGATATGTCTGGGATGTGGGATCATAGGCTAGTCTCACTCAGACTGATGTTTCTGAGTGGAGATCTCACACTGTTTGGCCCAGAAGACCCCCTCTGGTGACAAAGCTAAGCTTCTTGGTCACTGAGGCTAAACCAGAGCACCCCAGATTCACAGTGATTGAAAACATGGTGAGAAGAAACCCGTGAAGCCTACATACAATGACCCTCAAATGAACATCCCACCTTTGCTACTGATGGGAAGAGGCTTCATTAGCAGTGCAGCCCTAACCATAGTTGCTCCAGAGCAGGCATTCCTTCCAGAAATCGCCATGGGACTCACTGAGAGCAAGCTGCCCATCACTAGCTCCAGGTTGGTGTCCCTGCCAAGTCAACTGTAAGCCAGAGGGACTTCTTGTACTCTGTGCCAGCTTGATACGGTATAAAAAGAGCTGGGAGAGAATAGGGTGTGTGAAGTAGAGGAATTGATATAGCAGGAAGAAGAAGAAACTATATACAGGACTAATAGGAATACATATCTCTATTCAGAGTCTACTGCTTAGTGCAGGTCCATCAAGGTGGCCAATGCATGGTTCTGCCTGTGACTGCAGGCACCCAGCACATCAAAAAGCACATCTCTCACCTGGAAGTGCTTCTGTTGTGTCTGTCTTGAGGTCCAGGATGGGCTCAGAAGAAGACATGTGTTTTTTAGGGCTCTGCTCTGTTTCTGAAGGCTGGGGAACAGGCAGACTGAGCCAAGAGCTACCTAAAAAAAATCAAGACCAAAAAAAGAAACTCATAGAAAGTGAATGATGCACAGAGAGCAAGGAAGGTAGAGTTGGCTGCACTCCACACATGACCATCACCAGGGCCTGAATGACCTCCCAGAGAACCCTGCTGTGTGCCCATGGTGAAAAGGGGTCTGGGCACTATCTGCTTCAATGCCTCCCAGATCCCTCCTGATGGTAATAGCCCATCCTTTCCATGACCAGGTCTCAGAACTGGATCGTCCCACAGTGCAGTAAGTCCAGACTGCATCATTTCCTTGGGCTGATCCTGCTCTGCCTGTGACAGTGGCTGTGTTTCTGCAGGATATGCCTGTGGGGACACATCTACTAGAAATCCCCACCCAAATCATTCAGGATTGGCAACTCTGAGCTGCTCGCGTATACGTCCAAAGGCTGTGATATGCACTGAAGGTGTGAGGATACAGTGGGACACACGTGTGTATGGCTCACCGCATGCTCTCATCCATGTAGGCCCCCTTTTTACTCTGTACAGATGCTGGAGAAATAGGCTTTGCAGACAACCTATCCACACACCACTCCCATGAACCACAGCCCATGAACTCATGGGGCAAAATAAGATGCTGCGTCCAGGAGAGGGCAGCAGAATCCCAGCAAGCTCCATGCCCTTCGTCACTCCTGAATTACAGTTGCAAACTCTTTCCTGAGCTGTAAACACGGCTTTCTACTCTCTATGGCAATATTCTTCGCCCAGACTCTCTAGAAAAGTTTTTGTGGCCACCATGTTTCAGCAGACCTATAAACGGTTCTAGTTAATGTCCCAGAGTAGCTATTGTTGCACCCTTTTCATTGCAGGAACGGTCTGCAGTCCCAAGTTGAGATGTGGAGGAGGAAGTCTGAGCTGAGCTCTGTGCCATGGGGCCTTGAAACACTTCTGGGTGCTGCGTGGGTTGAGGGCAGAACTCAGCTCCTGAGCCGTCACGGTGCATCATGTCCTTTGCTGGCAGACTTGTCCCCTCTTCTCTGGGTTACAGGAGTGTAGGACATGGGGAAGAGCGTCTGCTCCCCCCCGTATGAGATAAGGGAATAAAGTCCTGAATTCAGGTCCTGACACATATGTAGAGAGGAAAGAGTTTCTGATGGAGTCAGACCTGCAAGGCTGAGGCTCCTTGGTGTGCTTTAGTGACCCCAGGATGCAGCACCAGGCAGAGTCGTGGTTCCCTGTGCTGTCATGCAGCAGATGAGAGCAGCTGTGCAAGCCAGCTCTTATTAAAGATTTAAAAGGCAAGCTGTCAGCAGTGCTGCTAAGAGGTGGCTTTTCCTGTTATAGCTCTATCCTTCTCTAATACTAATAGGATTTGAGGGAGGAGGAGAAGCAGCAGTGTGCCGGCCAGCAGAGGGTGAGTGCTTCTCTGTGCAGAGGCTTTGCACACCTGAAAGTAGATCTTTCTAATTTTTCTGTATTGTCTGGAGGCAGATGGGAGGTAGCAATCTCCATGTCTTTTTCATAATTATATATGTTTTTTGTTATTGTTGTTGCAAGGGGTCAGTAAGGACTATACCGAACCTTCTGCCCTGTGTCCGTAGAATCCTCCTTTGTGTCCTTCATGGCATCCCACTGAAACCCCTTGCGTCAGTCTGGATGAGGAATTTCTATGGGAGAGAGCTGCCCAAGATTTCAGCCAGCAAATACGCAGAGATGTGGAGGCAGTCAGGTCTGAATTCAGATCTCCGGATGGAAGAAAAACCCAACCTCAGAATGATGATATACAACTCAGTGCCCTGGGAGTCGTTGTACTGCAGAGTGCTCCAGGCATAGGAGGGATTTCACGTGTTAATAGCAATGACTTCAACACCAATTAGCTTAGTCCACTCTTCAGTCAGTGCCATACAAACATATAGACAGGCTGTAAATCGCAAGCAGTTTATGGCTTGATTGAAAGTGATGGCTCTGAAGCCAGTACTTGAACCAGTAGTTCAAGTCATCGTAATTCATGTGCTGCTTTCTGCCTCCCATGCTCAGGACACAGCAAGTGGCTGGAGCTCTTGGTGCTGGCCCTGGGTTAAAGCCTTCTTTGGCAATGGGTGAAGCAGGACAGGAGAGGGGATGGGGAGAAATGCTAGGAAATGAATTCTCCCCTGGAGTCAGCCAGAGTTTGAGGAAACCCAGAGCCTGCCTTGTACATCTGCCAGGACTGATTCATGAGGATGTACTTATTAAAGAAATACGCGTTTATTGCTGGTTCCCTGCCAATCTCCTTCCACAAGGAGTCAAACCACTCCAGCAGAGAAAACAGAAGTCCCCCTGCTTTCACCGATACTGGTGCAGAATGAGGCCACCAGAGCAGGGTCACTTTTTTCTATTGGTGCCAAAGCCTCAGGTCCATTAAGAACACCTCTCCTGAGCTAAAACTTCATGTCCCAACCCTCATCAAAGCACAGCCTCAGCTGTGAGATCTGAAAATTTCACTTCAGCAGTGAGAAGGTAGCAGAAAGGACTGTGCTATCCTGGCTCAGGTTTTCCACCTACCTAGCTGCTTCCTATCTCTAAGGAAAACTCAGCTTGTCTGGCCTTGTTACTCTCCATTTTTTGCCAAAATTCAGCTACTGTTTGCCCTTTTGTATGGAAGACATCTCCCCACCCAAATGCTTCTTGTTCTTCCACCATTTTATGGAAAACGATCTCAGTCATGGTCCCTGCGTGCAAAGTGGAAGGTTCCTTCAGGAGCATCAAGGAATCGCTTGTAAGGAAGCAATGAGGAAGGATTGGGAAAGTGCTTTCCAGAAAGACTGTACATTTGAACGTGCTGTTCCCTGGCAGTGTGTCCAGCACAAAAGTGGCTCCAGCTGTTTTTCTTTACACCAGAATATGCATTTCTGTATCATTTCCAGGAGTCACCTTTCAGAAAGCAGACCCACAGGCGATTTCCACACAGTGCTCACTTCCTCTCTTGTTACTTTTGCCAAGAAGAAATTCCACACACTGATGGTCTCACAGGGAGATTCCAGGCAAGACTGGGAGACTGCTCAGTATGCTGACCAAGCTGGGGACATCAGAGGCAGGAAAGTGAAAGAAGAAGGTGGGAATGATTGCAACCCTTAATATACTGGGAGAAAGAACAGCAGAAATCCTTTCTTCAAGCCAAATCAAATGTTCTGCTCAATCCCAAAGGGAAGAGTTCATAAAGAGCAGGGGATGAGGATCTGGGTCACCCACTCTGGCAGATGCCTTGGCCATGTAGCACAGATCTGTGTTTCTATCATCCAAGCAGAGTCTCAGCTTCTGGGCAATAAGAAAGGGAAAAATGTCTTCTTCACCTTTTCCTTTATCCAGAAGTTCTTTTCCTATTTTGCAAAACCTCTGTCCAGCCTGATCCAGATGAGTCAGTCAAAACAGCAACTTACTCCCGGTGTGCCTCTTTGTCTTGGAGTTTTCCACCAGATTTCCTGTTTTTAACTTTTCTTCTAGCGTCAGTTTGGGGAGCTGAGGGCCACAAAACCACTGCAGCTCTGTAATGATCTGAGCTAAATCCTATCCCAATACACAGAAGTGCAGTATGCAGACCCTTATGCCCTGGGTCCAGCTCCTATGTTCAAGTGCACGTCCAGCCAGAGTGGACAGCAGGAGCATCATTATCTCTTTCCAAAAGAAGTCATTGAAGGGTGAATAAATTTTCAGAGAATAGAAACCACTTCACCCCAAAACCGAGAGGAAGTCTTGAAACTGCAAAGTCTTCTGCCTACTTTACCTTTTTCTCACTCTTTGTGCCTACTCAAAGAGAGTTTGAGACCAAGACATAATACATTGCAAAATCTGCCAGAGTCTGATCCAGCCTGGGGAAGCCTCTCTTCCATGTTACTTCTGAAATTTTCACCTTTCCGTTCCCTATTAGGAACATAAATCCTCTGGATAATGACTGTGGTTCTGACCTACAGCCTTTCCCCAAAGACAAGAAATGTGTGGAAAGCATTTCCCTGTGTGTCAGGAGTCAAGTATGAGCTGAGAAATGCAATGCAATGGAGACACTGTGCTTTCAAGGGAGATACAGTGTCTTTCAGCTTGTCCTGTTGGTCTCCATCTCCATGTATACATGCTCACGAGAATGTCTTACTGAGGATCCTCATTCATATACTAAACACACAAGAGATGGTTACATCTCCCTTCTGCATCTTCTCCAGCCATCCTTGTTCCGATCAGCCTTCAAAGAGATTAAAACCCAGTATTTGGGAAGATTTTGATGTCCTTATTGAAATGTGTTGACTTGGCTTCACTTTCGGTCTCAAAACCAGTTTATTCAGCAATACAACAGTTTAGATGACATCCTGCAAGTGGGATGAAGGGCCTATGGCCACCAAGCACTGAATCTCCTGGGAATCAGGAGCAGCACAACAATATTACTGAATCTGGGCTCCTCAAGCCCTCCAAGACCATCTTCACCACCCAGCCTTGCCCTGGACCATCCTTTGGGGTGCCTTTACCTGGGAGGCTGAAGTGCCTGGAGAGTTGTCCTCGCACGACAGGACCTGGAGAAAAGGAAAAGATATGGGTCTGGCTCTCCGCTTCACTATGACAACACTGGTGACTTCCCTTCAAAAAAGCACATCCCTTGGAGGGGTACAAGGAAAGGGAAAGAGCACCCATCACATGAAAAATGATGTCCAGTGAATTTCCCTTGGATGTGCACTGTGATCCCAGCCTGGTTTTACATGATTTGTCATGAAATGCCTCTGATAGGTAATTTGATGCATCCCTCTAGAGCACTTCATATAATTTTGCAGTAGTGATTAAGATGAGACCCTACCTTAACCAAAGAATAGGACCACCAGCTCAACTCCCTCTTATTATTTCATTTGAAGAGATGCTCTTGCACAAGCTGGAAGTGGCCATTTTTTGAAGGGAAGATGTTTGCCAAAAGCATCCTATAGGAACAGGAACAAGGCAATGGACTGCATGGCATCCCTGAGACAAGGGAGATGTCTGAGCAGGTGGATATCCCTCCAACCCAGTCCCCTTGGCACCCCTCGGTACATCAGCACCAAAACCCCTTCTAAGAAGAGAGCCGTGCAGAGCAGCCAACGGTTTTCTCCTTAGAAAGCTGTAGGATACAACCAGCTGTAGGGTACAACCAAACATTTTTGTGCTTGTTGAGAAGGTGAATGTCTATGGGAAAGACCCAAATGGTGTCATTTAGTTTAATCACAGAAGAAGCTCACACTGAAAAGAGACATCTCTCCCTCTCTAGCTTGAGCTGGTTGCCATTGGAAAGAAATTTTCCCTAGAAACACATTAATGCGATGTGGGACTCAGGCTAAAATTACACTTAATCTTGATATATTGTTTGAGAAGAGAAAAACAGTATTTCATTTAAAGCTGCAGAAGGAAACACATTTTCATATGTCAGAAAAGGTATTTTTTCAGTGCTATTTCCTGTATTTTTGGTGTATTTGCAACTAGTCTTAATTAACACCTGCATTTTTTTCAGCAAATACGTGGTTCAACTGAACATGTTTGCAAGGATCCATTCAGGAACTGGAACTGATGTGGTACGAAGCAAGCAAATTGAAATAATTATTAAAGGCAGAGTTAAAAACCGTCTGCATGCTCCTAATACACAGGGCAAAAGTATTCATCTTATGATAAGTCAACAAAATAGTGGATAATGGAGAACAGTTAATACATTTTCCTGAGTGCTTTTTGATAAAGACCATCAAAGAGGCTTTTAAGAAAACTCAATTGCCAAGGGGGGATTGTCTGGCTTCCGCAGTGTATTAAAAGCTTATTAAGATGGAGAAAAGAAGAAATGGAATCAAGAGTTCATTCTCGACATATAAATAATATAATAATAGGACATCCCTGAGAGTCCATTTTAGGATGAAATCTTTTGTTAACGATGCAGGGGAAAGGGCAAACAGTCAAGTGGAAAATTTTTACAGAGAGCAGAGAGTAATATCTGCTGGCTGAGGCCAGGGAGGCTGCATGGGGACTTAACGAAGGCGCGCTAATGAAAAGCCTGCCGACAGGTTAATTGAAACTCTGGGCAGTGAAAAGCGATGCGTGTGAGAAGGCATAGCTTGAGATTTTCGTGCACTTCGGTGGGTTTTGAATTAGAAAAATACAGCAAGACCCCGGGGCTGTGCTGGGCAGATGAGGAAATGCTGGCTAAGCGCTCTGAGCTGGTTGTGTTGGGCACAGAGAAGAGAAACCACAGAAGATCTATGCAAAAATACCCTCAGGGAATAGAGCTGGGCTCTAATTTTGGCCACTTCCCCTCGGGACAGACAGACAGGAGTAGTGTCTGCCCAAAGCTGGTTGTGAAAGGCACAAAGGGGTTTTTACACTTGGGAGGGTGAGATAGGAGGAGCATGAGAAAACAAGTAAGGAGGGAGTCGATGGGGGAATTGCTATAATCATAAAAACACATGGCTTTTAATGGGAAAGCCCTTTAAGGAGGCTCTCCATCCCCAAATTAGGTTAGATACAAACTGACATGATAAGAGACAGAAGCCAAGATACTAAGGGGTGCTGGGCATCACCACAAGCCAAGGTTGGGATCCTCCCAGAGCAGGGCCAACACAAACCGTAGGGATTTTTCATGGGGTTTCTTCCACCTCAATCTGAAACATCTCTGCCAGGCACAGCCAAGGGCAGGACACAGAGCTGGGCTGATAAATCCTCTCCCAGTCTTTCTCTTTAATGTATTAGTTTGCATTTTCAGTCTGCTCACGTATCATTTCTAGATAGGTCAGGGCACGTAATCCCCCTAGGTTTATTCATTATTAGAAAGCTTTTCAGTTTTCCCTTAACATCCTTTGGAGCTGATGTGATTACAGAATACGTCCTCTGGGACAGGAGTGGGAATTCTGTGAGGGTGGTGCAAAGGATGGAGGTACTCAGAGGAGCTGAGAAAGGGCAGGAGATGAGTGGAAAAGCCAGCAACACTTTAGAACCCTACTGCTATAATATATATTTTTATATATACATATATATATATATATATTCCCCCCTGTATTTTTAAAGCACAAGCAGTAGCTCCCAGGTCTGTTCCACCATCAAGATTTACTCAGTGCAAATAATTCTTTAACTCCACATCCTGCACTCACAGCTCCTGCACGTGGAAAAGTTGATTTCTGACACCATGCCCACAGAGAGCATCCTGCTTTATTTACAGGAGGGACAACATTCCCCAAGCAACCATCCCCGGGTGTTGGTGATTCTGGACCCAAACTTTATAAAGGGGCAAAGCCAGGGTGATTCCCCCCAGCCATTGTCTGTAGAAGAATCAATCAGAAAAATGCAACCTCATGGAGCTTTAAGGTTGGAGCTTAATCCCTTTAAATCAGTGTCACTGTACTCCCAGCCACTGATTATTTAAATAATGGCTTGATATTTTTAAAAAAAATTGTTTTTAGTCCTCAGAAGAAAAAAAACCCAAACCACTGGATTTTTTTTTTCAGATGTGAAATGGTATAAATGGAAAATCAAAACTGTACTGTTTTACATCTCCTTGCTGGCTATGCAGGTCGGTGCCCTCACTGCAGGGAAAAGCTGGAAAAGATTGGTAAACACAGGTGGGATTGCCCAGAGTAAAGACATGCCTGCCAAAGTCTCCAAGGCTGATTTTAGCCTTCTCCCTGGCAATGTTAGGGCAGGAGAGGGGCAAAAAAAAAAAGAAAAAAAGAACTGTTAGCCTTTCAGATGGTGTGGTTTTGGTGGCCCTGTGGTGAGCTATGGCTTCTCCTTTGAAAAAGGTGTCGAGGCAGAGAAAACCAGCAGTGCTTTGTGAAGACCTGGAGGAGAGATGATCCGGGTCGTAACTGGAGTTCTCGCACTGCACCCCATGGATGTGAAGGGTCACTGCTGCTCAGTTGCTGGGCTGTAGGAGAAGCAAATGCCAGCACCAGCACATGTGGTTCAGTGACTGCAGAGCAAGCTGCGGGTTGCGGTGCCAGGAAAGCCAGGACAGCCTGGAGCTCCTAGAAGAGCTCATGAAAACATGTTCCCTCTGAGTTACCTGTGTTCATAGACAGGCACCATGAATCACATTTGGGTGCTGCCAGTTGCCTGCTAGAGCCTTCCAACCTCTGTTTATTATGTGTTTTGAAATCTGTGCATGTCCCCCACCTGTAGCTCATTTCCTGCAGGCACCAAGGAGATGCAAGCTCAGATAGGGCTGCGGACGCAGGTGGGGTTAAGCAGAAGACATAGGCAACAGTGGCATGGGGTAAGCAGGCAGAGCAGAGGAAGTGAGGGTGATGTAAAACAGCAAGATGAAAGATACAGCTGAGACGGAAATGAGAGCGCAGCATCTTCTCCTTAGTGACAGTCATGGGGCTTCTTATGGTCTACCCCAGCCAGGCTGTGGGCAGAGAGCATCCCTGTGATTCCCTAGCAGCTCTGGAGCTGCTGACAAATGAGAGGGGATGGGTGGATTCACAGATGTGCTCTAGGGGAGCACTGCTGGCAAATGCTTGTCCAAATTTATTCAGAGGAGACACCAACCCTCCCCAGGGACATGCCTCTGGTGCTGCTGGAGCTGATAGGAGGTGTTGGTAACGCCCAGTCATTTCTCTGTGGCGACCTCAGTGTTTCTATTCTCAGCCCTTTTTGCCCTGACCTTACAGTACAACTGATTACCATCCATTTTATAATTAAACTTAGCCTGATGCTGAACTGTTTTCTCGTCATCTTCCTTCTAGACTAAATAAAGCCCATTTCTTTAGCATTTCCTAATAAGCTATGGTTACTAGACCTCATCACTCGTACTTGGATTGGACTTCCTCCAGCTTGTCAACATCCTTCTTACTCTGGTGGGCAGTATGTTCCAGTCCCAGTGCCAGGCTGAGGAGAACATACCCATGTCTCCCACCATCAAGGCTCCTGCAAACACATTGCTATCTGGCATGCATTTTTCTGCCAAAGTCTCTCCCCCCTGATGCATGCTAAACAAAGCATAAGCCTTTTCTCAGCTCTGCTTTCTGCTTGATTTTGCCCTGTTTTATACCTGAGTGACTGACGTTTTCTCAGCTTCTCTGGTGAATTCCTATCCTGTTTCTTTTGGGCAGATCAGAGCATCCCATGCATCGTACATGGGTTACTGTCCCTGCCACCAGCAGAGCTGCTAATGACAATATTGATTGCAGCTGGTCTGCAGGCAGACATCCTGCTTGTTGCTCCAGCAGCGTCTGCTCAATTCATCTAGACCAGGTTTCTCAGCAGCAAAACCTTGCTTAGGAGAGAACACCAGGGTGTAGTTCCTGTCCCACAGCAGGAACTTCTGCTCTGCCCCTCTCAGCCCATATTATCTGTACCTACGCCTAGCAGGGGCGGTTTCAGGCAGGAAACCTCCAAATGACAGTGAGACAGCTGGGGAGAAGTGCTGAGCACTGAGTGGGTGGGAGCTCTTCTGCAAATATGAGGGGAGGGCTGGGGTCATACTCACGGGCTCCTATCATCAGCTTGAGTGTTTTTCTTCCCAGCCATCTGCTGTGTGTGCCCTCCAGCTCCTGAACATCAGCACCTAAATCCTGGCACACATCATGGCACAGGTGATGGAGGCCGTTGATGCCCATTCCTGGATGCTTGGGCTACATCAGAGCAATCCGGACCTGCCAGCCCAGACTTAGCTCAAAAGCATGAGCACCAATCCAGCCCATACAGAGGTCAAAGCTCCAGGCTCAGCCTTAAACTAAAATTATTTATTCTGGATTATTTATCTTTTTCCC